CTTATTATATATATATATATATATATGCCTGAGCGTGTTTGTGTTTTTGAGTAAACGTGTACATATGTATTCAGGCATTGATGAATATAAAAACCCTAAACACGATTGTTTAGATGCAGTATGATGAACTTGAATATCTGAATTAATGATTATACATATAATATACTTATGTACATGTACTTCTTACTCGGTTCATACAATCACTATAACACTTATAACCACAAAAAAAAACCCACATACTGGTTAGAGAATTTGTCGTCTTTGACGAAATGTGATCCAATCCACACCGTCACAGCCGAGCACCCGCCAATGAGTGCCCCTGCGCGCACGTTGACATAACCCAATCGCATGTTCATGGCAGTGGCCGACAGACCCACCGGCAGCATAGTGGCTAGAGAGGTGGCAACAACACGCTTCTGTATATGGGGAAAAGTGTATATGCAATGGATGATGATGTGTGTGCGAAAATGGAGGACTGCATTTATGTTATGTTACGTTATGTTACGTTATGTTATGTCTTGTTATGTTATGTTTTGTTATGTTATGTTTTGTTCTGTTCTGTTTTGCTATGATATGTCGTGTTATGATATGATATGATATGATATGATATGATATGATATGATATGTTACGTGACGTTACGTTACGTTACGTTATGTGATGATATGATATGATATGATATGTCATGTTATGTTATGTTATGTTAATGGTATGTTATGTTATGTTATGATGCGTTGTAATGTTATGATGCGTTATGTTATGTTATGATGCGTTATGTTATGTTATGTTATGTTATGCTACGTTATGTTACGTTTTGCATTCATATGGTAATGGGGGAATTGTGATAGAACACGAAGAGTGTATGCCACGAGAAGATATGGGGTGTATGGATGGTCGACTGGATGTGAGCAGCCTGAATCAATCAGATGGGCTATGCTTGGGTTACGTTGGGTTACGTTGGGTTATGTTTGGGTTGTGTTGGGTTTTATGTTGTGTTTTGATTAAGTTTGGGGTATGTTTCGGTTTTGTTGGGTTATATTGGGTTTTGTTTGACAAATGCTTGAGTTATTTATGTTGGTTATTAAGTTTGTTTGACTTATGTTTGGGGTATGCTTCTGTTATGTTTATTCTACTTTGGATTATGTTGGGGTTTGTTTGGGTTATGTTAGGTTCTAAGATAGAGTTTGTTTGTACTGAAAAAGTGCGAAAAAGTGCGTACGTAGTACAATGTACCAGGCAATCGGTCAACTGGCAGTACTCTTTACAACTAAAGTGACTCACGCCTACTTCTGGTCGTGGGAGAAGTTATTATCCCCTCATTATGGTCATTGTTGAGTCATGGTCCCGCTCTTCATATAGGTCCTCGTATTTTGGTTAGTGTGGATGATAGCCTTGCCCTTCTAATAATGGGTTCTCTTATTTCTGTTAGTGTTAAGTCATAGTCCTACTCTTCGTATGATAGGTTCTGGGTCCTAGATGAGTATGCGACCACGCTAGATTAATATGTATTACATCGAGTATATATATATATATATATAAACGTACCTGTTCCATGTCCGTAGCTAATGCTAAATAGGACGTCAGCAGAATGCCTCCTCCCACGCCCATCACACCAGAGATGAATCCAGAGAAACAGCCAGCGGTTATGAACTTCCAGGGCGATTTCAGCGCTGATATGTACCGGAATTGCATTATATTATAAATTGTAGTAAAGTGCATACACTACTATGACACGCTATACAAGTAACACGAGTCTGCGTTGTAAGACTATTCATTCACTAACAGCTGTGTGGCATTTGGCCACACAAGTCCTTCGCGCACCATTCAGCCGCCAATACTCTCGCAAGGCCTGAGGTAATCATCTTGTGCGAAAACATAACCTATTCAAAAATGTTACCTTTTTAAAAACGTAACCTATTCAAGGAAGCATGAGTCATCGCAGGATGACATCGGACACATGAGCCACCACACCAAAGCATTGGCCAATATACCTCAGAAGCACCTCTCCTGCGAACAAACCTAGCCCACATCAACCATACAGAATAGACAGCAGACACTTTGTATACGTATGCATGTGTGGACCTATCCAGAACGTAATGTATGTGGGGCGTGATATATACCTTCATTGGTATCAGCCGTAAGCACTCGACAGGCCTCTGGTGACAGCAGCTGTTGGAAGGACTTCAGCAGCCACGCAGGCACATACTCACTAGGGACGACTGGCAGAGGGAGAGACACGGCGGCAATCTCTGCAATACAAACGTGGACATTCCCTTAGGAAGCAGACCAGTATTCAGTACAATACATACATACACACACACACACACACATATATATATATATATATAAAATATATACTTTACGAGGTATGTTTATATAGACGGTATAAGGGAAGTCTGAGAAGAAAAAAACAAACACAGGGCAGGGTTTAGACAAGAACAGCCAGATCAATAGATTTTTGGGCTTAGCGTTCACTAACTTGCGTCAGTCGGCAAGATATACCTTTCCTATGTATACACGTACACATACACATACATACATACACACATAATATAAATACACACACACACACACACACACATATATATATATATATATACGTATACATATACATATACATGAACACACACACACACACTCACACACACACACACACACCTCACACACACATATATATATATATATATATATATATATAATATAAATATATATATATATAAATATATATATATTGTCATAGTGACCACCCATCACGTACGTGTGAGTGCATGTGTTGGCCTGGGTATAGATTCAAATATAAACCCTTAACCCTAACCGCCCGTTGTGATTGGCGCAGCCGTTAGTCTAAATCAATATCCGATTGGCACAGCTGTTTGTTAGAGTCAACCCCAGTCTTCTCTGGATGCACATGTGTTGCATATCTAAGCCATTCGTTTGAAGCCGCTTGCGAGCATGAACATAAAATCATAAACTCATGTGATGACAAAGGATGTGGAAACATAGATGTCATGCTACTCCCAACCACTGCATCGCCATCATCTGGTATCTACCCAAACCTCCCACCCGTACGCAACCATGTGCACAAGGTGTGTAGTTTACGCAGACATACACACAGACGCATGAGGTGTGTAGTATACGTACACCTACACACGCGTGCACAGAGAGCGCACCTTTGTCCTCGGCGGTGGGCTGGGCAATGATGAAAAGGGACATGAAGGCCAAGACTACGCCCATGATCTTAGTTAGGCTCTTGTTACTCATTCGACTCGCCACCTTAACACCGAACGTGGCAGTGATTGTGGACGTCGAACACTGTGGTGTGGCGAAGCAATACCGTGCGATAAGGCTATGGTGAACAGGTGCGTGTTATGTGATATATATATATATATATATATATATACATTAAAGCCACCTACAGACATCACACTTGGACATCTGCACTGATATAGAGCACGTACTGTTGGAACGCAGCGTTGAATAAAACCATAACGTTATACATGACACGACGTATATATTTCTCAAAACCTAAAACCCTCAGCTCACCAACAGCACAGCGATAGGAATGTTCGGTACAAGGCCCAGCGCATACGACCACGTGGCAACGGCACCTCTGCAGGAGATACAATCGAAAAGATGAAGCCTTTGAGTACACATACATAGCCAATAAAACATGCTATGCCCAAGATCGCAGCAACCACACCCGTAAGACAAGGACAACACATGAATGTGCATCTCATAGTAGGGCGGTTGCGCCCGTAAGACCCGAAAACAGGACTTCTGGTGCACCTAATAATAGGACTTTTGGTGCAATTACAAACAGATTTCTGGTGCACCTAAAAAACAGGACTTTCGGTGTAACTACAAACAGGACTTCTGGCGCAGCTATACCAATAACAAATAAAGTTAGTGATGTCACTTGTTGAGGAAAGCGAAGAATTGTCAATAAACATTGCGACTGAATGAACCCGAGAGCACCATCTGTTCTAACCGGTGTAGAGTGGTATAGAGTGAAGTAGAGGAGAGCAATATGGAGTGGTGCAGATTAAAGTGATATAAAGTGATGAATATTAGAAAGGTTTAAATTGATGTAGACTAAAGTTATAAGTGATGTAGAATATAAAGATATAGTGATGTAGATGAGAGTGATATAAAGTGATGCAGATTGGAGTTATATAAAGTGGTATAGATTAGAAAGAATTAGAGTGTTATATAGTACTGTAGATAGAACAGCAGCGACTAATCCGGTGTGGAGTTTGCGTACGCACGATGCGAGATTGAGTTTAATGGTATAAGGGTTTGTTAGGGTTTAGTAAGATCGGTGAACATTGCATCAACTGCAATATGCAATGGATGTCATAACCAGCTGTGGCAGGAGCATCATCCTCTGCGTACCTACCCCTTTGGATCGCCTGCCTACCAACGTATGCAGTATGCATGATGCAGTACAACTATACAATGACCTATCTGTAGTGCGAACCCAATTGATCATGGGCTGTACACCGCAAAGTGCCCAGCAGTTTAAAACCCCGCAGACTCGGATGATAAACCAGCGTTGTGTATCTTTGAGACTCCAATTAAAATGGTTTACAACTACATGACTACCAGGAACGCACCCCCAGAGAATCACGAATCCTTGAATAGGTGTGCGCGTACAAGCAGATGGCGTGGTAGGGTTCTGGGTGCCTAGGGTTTCTGGCGAAGGTATATGCACGCAAACAAACAAGTGTACAGTTTTTCATGGTAATACATACGAATACATGGTTGTCATGGTAATACCTACGCCTATATGGTTGTCATGATAATACATACGCCTACATGGTTGTCATGGTAATACATACGCCTACATGGTTGTCATGGCAATACCGAGCAACCCTCTGCGCAACCACTTACGATATGGTCACAGACAGCATTGACGTCGCGTTGCATGCCTGTTGTGTCAGAGGTGTCAGATGCCTTAGCACCGGGATGATGAAAACCCCTCCTCCTACGCCTGTGGGGTGAGAGTGTGTAGTATAGCCAGTTAGGACTCGAGTGGGCCATAGTATTGGTAGGTATACACATCCAGGCAAGTGAGCAGTAGGGCCAGTATTGGAGTTCATGCTACTGCTAGCATTTAAGTACATCGAGAGAATAGGGAGTATGGCCACTCAGAATTGAAGGTCATACTACTAATAATATTTGAGTACACACCGACGATTATAATCGTGCGTTTATGGGATGTTAAACTACTGTGCTTGAACGTGCATCTTTGGAAATAAATGCAAAATATAGTACGATAAGCTGTATACATTGATTATCTGTTTTTATCGCGCAGTTAAAGATTGATATATAATTTTAGTACCAGACAGTAGATAGCAGATAGTAGCTATTATATATATATATATATATATATACACACACACACACATATTAATATA